TTCAATGCTTAACTAGCAAAAATCTATTGTTGAAACCTTTCCAGTAGTTTCTACCTTCTAAAAAATAATATGATTTTTTTATTGCTTGACAGCAGCGACATTTTAACAGACTACCACTTAGTTATAGTGCTACCGAACATCTACGAATCATGCTACGTAACAGAACCCTGAGAGATGGTCGAGAGGGAAAGGTGTGAAAGAAGTTGGCGGCCCAAGAACAATTCCATGTCAGCTCTTGAAAGCAAGCAATTCCTACTAAAAGATTAGCCTATTGACGTTCTCATGACTGAAAAAATAATCACAAATTTGCGCGGCAATCAAACGAAATTCCATCGGTAACAGATTGCTAAACAACCTAAGGCACATTATTACCGAGCTCTCTTGGGATGGCTGCTTAGACATCTACTGAAGATGATGAATGAGATCAACGAAATTGACTATAATTACGTTTTTGAAGCTCATATGATGGAATTGTTTCTCCCCAAGTTGTTAGGTATCAGGCCTAGAGCAAGATCTGTAGGTTGAGCTCTTGTTTTCGTTTTCAGTCAAAGTATGATGAAGCAAAAAGAATCATGTCGATGACATGTCTTCTTCATTTTGTTGTTTTGCTCAAAATAATTGCTGATTGTAGGCAATAACACTAAATGTGACGTATTATGACGCAGTTTTTAAAGTTATGAAGCGATACCTAGAAATTTGTTGTGTTTGCAGATCTAAACGAGAACCGATTCAACATTATCATTTATCTCATATTCATATATAAAAATTCCATTAGCCATATAAAACGATCCACATAATTTCATCTCTCAAACAAACACAAAAGGATTTGCAGGCATACTCTTAGAAGAGGAGAAGTCGACGAATGCGCAAATGCCATGTCAATGTGTCCCGAGCGTGCTCCTTTCCAAAAATCGTTTTCTTTCAGATTCAAAGTAATTAAATGCTCTTCCACCATTATTCGGTAATCTTCTATCCTATCTGTATTATTCCACTGTGGTATGAATATTTATATCTGTTTATCAATTCAAAGTCCCGTTTGATTGCTTTGACGAGGACAGGTAGTTCCTCAGCAATTCGCGGCACTTTGCCTTTAAGACAAAAATTGTCAGAGCAATAACCTAATAGTTTGTGGCAATGCCTTTGTTTGAGATTATCCTTCCTATATATCCAGAATCCCGTTATCTAAGTCTTCGTGACTTGCAGGCGACTTCGCAATGGCCATGAATCGTTTTTGGAAGCCAAAAGAGGAAGATGCCTGATGTGGAATATACTTAGAGCACTAATAGAAGTGATGAAGGGAAAATGCATGACCACAGGAATACAAAAATCTTATGTGTATTAGAGTAATCATTAACTATAACCGTATTCAATCTGTAAACCTAAGCAAGACCCAAACTTTTGAATTATTAGAATGTACCACTGTGACTCAATAGCTCTGTAAATGATAGTCAAGTTGTGAAACCGCTCACAATGTGGAATGTCTTGTATTTGGTCTAGTCGATGCCTGACAATCATTACTAAGAGTCAAGCTTTTAGATAAAAGTGTCTTTTCTTAATTTCAGAACTTGACTTTCGGTAATGCCTCAGAGTCAAACCGAAAAGAGCTGCTGTGTTCGACATCAATCTCCGTACTCGTTTCTCATCCATTCCTAATAAGTATTTTGGCAATTGGAGTCAATTAGAAAGCTTGTTAAAAATAGCGCTAAGCATAGGCAACAAAAGATTATATCCTTAGGAGACAATATCAAGCGAAGCTGATTTTCTGCCATCTCTTAACATTTTGTCTTCAACAAATTTGCATCATCTCTTAACATTTTGTCTTCGACAAATTTGCATAAAATGGATAGATGCTTTTATAGTCTACATAATGAGATACCCTTATGAAACATTTGTTGGCTAAAAACTTTATTAGCATTATGAAGAAGACGCGTAAGATGCGAAATCAGTTTCATGCTTCTACAGAAGGCTCAGTGCTGGAAGAAGGAGCTGCCGTGCTAGCTGAAACATGTCACAATTCAAAGGTACGGTACTAAAAGGAAAATGTAGGTTTTTGATGCATCTATTTATAACGACGAAATCTAAAGAAATACCAAAAGCCCACCCGGTGCAATTTCACAAAGGGGACCTTTGTTGCCTTCGCTGTCGGTCGAGCATACAGCACCTTTTACAACTTTTTTACAAGGACTATCAGTCGTGCAGCCTTTTTTCCCTGTTGAATCGGCTGAGTAGAGTGGTTCTCCCTCCTTTGGCCTAAAATCACTTGCTTTATTTCGCTGATGAACTTGTAAGTAATATATCTATGAACATAAAGGCTTACAGGTTATCGTACACGCATGCGATAGAAAGTTTCTTCGCGTCAGAGCACTGCAGGTGCCAGCAGCCAAATTTCATTGTTTTATTGTGTATCATCTGAAAAGAAAGCCAAATGGGCATGATAATCCAAATGGTAAGTTCGGATACTTACGTTGGCAAACGGGGCGATAGATTTATCATTGTATATGACATCCGTGTTAAGAGGGCTAGTAACGCTAGCGCTCCAATCATCTACAGCAAACTTGTAATAATCAATTATTTCGTTATCAGTTAAACTTCCGGGTACTCGGTAACTGAATGTTCGTTTCTTTGCCACTAATCAATACTTTCTATTGTTTTGCCATATACTGCTATAAATACATACGATTGGAAGTTCTCTCCTACTCCTATGAGAGGTAAATCCAACCAATGACTGCAATCTGCTGTTCTTATTGTAGCCGTAGCAAGAGCCTCATATACACAATCATATTGCTAAAGCAGCAATCGATAAGTGTTATTAGAAATAAAGTGTTCAAAGGACTAAACAGAAAATCCTCCTCGTATTACGATCGCTTACAACTTTTTTTCCGAACATTTAAAACCTCTTACCAATTTAAACAGACTCTTTGTTCCAGGAAGTTTCCCGTATCTTTTTGCTTCCAGACTTCGATTTGCAACTTTAGCTCTCAGTTCATTGTGAGCTTCGGTGA